TGGCCACGCCAGCGCATTGCCAATGCACGGCCACGCCCAGCGACCACACCTGCACCAAACGCTGTTGCACGTCCTGTGAACGGCCTAGGAAACTCGACCACAACATGTGCTACGACAACAGCGACGACCACACCGTCGACCACAACCGTAACGACCAGCAACGACGACCACACCGTCGACCACAACAACCGCGCCTACGGCAACGACCCCAAGCGGAAAGTCAAGCACTACGACCAGCATCGACTCCACGACGCGGACCTCCACGGAAAACTTGGACACGCAGTGGCGGATCGCCGCAACCGGTCGAACATGGCGTGTTCGTTGACGAATGCAGTCGCAGAGTTTCGACATAGGGCAGTACGCCCCGCGTGCAAGGCGGTGCTCGGTCTTGGCAGCCAAGCGCACCTCAGCGCACAGATATGTGCGCGGCAGTCCACGCATGCGCACGCGTCAAGGCTCAATAGTTGTTTCCTTCGCACAGCAATCAGACATGGAAAAGTTAGATGCTTGACCTGATCCAGCTAGTATGGTAGTCAGTAGAAGCAGTCCCTGGTGTGAAAAGGCATTGCAACGTCAAGATGCACACGTCACGGAATACATCTCTCAGATGGCTTGAGAGCGACGTGATTCTTCAGTGACGTGCATTAAAGAGTCATGTCGTTGACATCAACAGACTGAGGCATACCAAGCTCTGTGAAATTGTGAGGGTAATCTGTGCGTGGATCCCTACTAACGCATACAGCTTGGCGATGCCCAGTGCCGAGTGCGCCTGCTCCAGCTCCGGCGCCCTCGTTTTGGTCATGATGGATGCCAGGTGCGCTGGCTACTGCGCCAGCCCCGTCTTCCTGGTGACGCCCTGCGCATGAGGAACCCCGCGCGGGCTCGTTGGGTTCCCGCGCAACGCCAACGCACGACGGCAGTCGGCACGCGACAGTTTGAGCTCTAACGAGCGCGACGGCGACCCATCGATGCGCCACCAAATCACCACCATCCGCAGAATCAGCTCACCATTGACTCACATGTGTCTGGCTTGTCACGCCAGGTGCGAGCGCTGTCGTGCCACTTTCGCGCGGGCCCGTGCGCGAGCCAGCGCGCGAGGTGCCGCCTGGGAGCGCATCTCTGCGTCAGAACAACTCAGCGCATGACATCCGCGACGGCGCGGATCCTTGAGCTACCAGAACAGGCAGGCGGTTCATGCCACCATTTTGGAAACTTCGAGGTGCACGCGATAGGTGGCGGCCAGCACGACCATCGCCGCAGGTCCTCCAGCTGCGTGTAGCACCAACGGCCAGCCGCAGCCTCCGCGGCCCCAGGACCGGCCGCAGCCACGCGACCCGCCCAGACCAGGTGCCGAGCCGCACGCTCACCACTCTGCATCTGGGCTCGGCGCCGTCGCGCAGCCCGAGCCAGAGTCGCGACAGCCCTTCCAGTCGCGCGCCTGCGCGAGCGAGGGCGCGTGCGCGGCGAGGCCTCGGCGAGCTCCGGCTTCCGGCAGTTGCGCGGGGGCATGCGCGCAGGGCGTCGGCAGTTGTGCCGGGAGCGTGCACCACCAGACTTCCCACGCGCGCCAGCGCGGGAAGCGCCTTTCGAGCGTCCAATCCCATGAGCGCGCAACCCGCGCCCGCGACGGATGCTGCGTGCACGGCGGCCTGGGCGTCGACGGCGTCCGCGCATCGGCCGCCCGATGACGTTTCCTAGCGCCCTCGCGTCACCATCCTGCATCTTGCACTCAGCCTCCGCGCGCGCCTGCGCAGTCAGGCTGGGTGGCGGGGCGGCCGTCCGGCAGGTCTCTCTCTCAACTCTCTCAACCCACTCGGACAACCATTCCCGCCACCTGGCCGCCAGCTTTCCCGACGTTGCCCGCGCCGCTCGGCCGCTCAGAGCCGCGGACCTCCACGGCGGGCCTGCGCCCCGCGGCTGCGCAGAGCGGCGGTTACACTGCCATTGGATAGGACGGAGTTCGAGACCGACCACGCGTTCTCCGCCCACGTCGACCTTCTCGAAAACGCCGCGATGACAGCGAGGCAGGCCTTGCCCCGCGCCAGGAACAGCCACGCGGCACCCACCGGCAGGTCGCGAAGTACCGCGTGGTCGGTGCATCGCCGAACCTGAGGAACAGGGCTCAGGCGAGATCCAAGGTCGGTTCAACGCCAAGGAGCGCTCACCAGCAATGGCAGTTCACGGAGTTACCAACAAGTTGGACTACGTCCATGTGGTTACTAGGGGAACAAAAAGTGACATATACATAAAAACTCGGAGGTCCGCGAGGATTTCTCGGATCGGCGCTGGACCCCCTCCCTGGCGCGCGGAGCGCACCAGGGTCGGCGCCGGAGGCGCCGCTGGGGGGCCCCAGCGCCGATCCGAGAAATCCGCGCGGACCTCCAAGTTTCTATGTTCATGCCACTTTTTGTTCCCCTATCTACGTGCAGAGCCAATGCAAAGAAACAGCCCGGACATCAGAAGGTGTTCTGACATCCAGCTTGCACCCGTTCGGGCGCATGCGGCCAGCCTGAGCAGCAGCACCACCGAGGCAAGTCTTTCCGCCTCCGAGGCCGCGCGCGCAAGACGGCGCCGGCCCCGGCGCCTTCAGGGAGGCCTGCAACTGCATAAGTAACACCACGCAGGCACAGTGAAGGCGATCCGCCGCCCGGGCTCACTGGTCCTTGGCTCACTTGCTCGCAGGCCGTTCATGGCCCACCATGGACGTGACAGAGCCGCATCGTTCAAGCCAGCTTCGATTTCAAATTTCTTGTCGCCCAGGGTTGCCGCGCAGATGTGACGACACAGCTGTGCGCGATGCGTTGCAGCGTGGACAGCGGCGGATACATGCCGACACGCGTAGTGGAAGCACGGGCAGGAAACGCAGGTACCCTCCCTCACACTTCGAAGCTCTTGTCGCTCACGCTAGTGCGGCCGACAATTTCGCAAATGTTCAGTATGCGCCGTTCACGGAGATGTACCACTACGACAAGCCCTGGCCCCAGACTCGCGCCTACGACGCTTGTGCAAGTCCCCGCAGAACGCCACGAACCTCGACGAGCAACGGCTCTCCGAGGAGCACTGCGACGCGAGCGCGCCCGCTTGCGAGCGCGCGCACCACTTCCGTAGCATCGTCCAAGCGGTGCGTGCACGCATGCACGTGTAGCACCTGGCTCGCGGCTCAAGTCCGAGCTGCACCGCGAAGGGCGCCCGCGCCATCAGTTGCCAGGCAGATGGACGCATCCACCGCGCTCTCGCGCCCACAGCCTGGACGGGACCCTCGGCTTGCTTGCCTTCGGCCTCCCGCCGTGTCAGTGCCAATCTCACCACCCACCAACCACCCCAACCCAACCCGAAGGCCCCATTGTGCCCTCCATTTCCGATGAGCATTGAAAAACAAGTAATATGGAACCCGTAACCCCCCCAACCCGAAATGCGGGTCTTCGGGTTGGGTTGGGGCGGTCCGGCAGGTGGTCATCGGCGCGGCAGCCGCCGCGTTCCACAGAGGCTCGGGAGCCGCCGCGCCAACGACCACGAGGAAAAGCACAAGCTCGCGTGCGTCAGCTCGCGCAGTCCCTCCGTGACGACCGCCTACCGTCGATACCGTGGCCAGCCTCCAAAGCGGGCGCGCGCGGCTGCAGGGATAGGCCGCAGCTCCATCGCCCGCCAAAACACGCAGTATCTCTTCGACGCCGCCGACGACGTCTGCTTCGACGCCCTCAGATATGGCGGCGAGATGAACATGTGCACGATCATGTCCAAGCGCCTCAGCAGGCCTGGCCCCGGGGTCGAGCCCACCGATGCGAACTCGACAAAGACGTGAGGGCTCCAGCGCTGTAGTGTTATTGTCCAGACCTCCCGTGCATTGGGGGGCTAATAAACACGCGGAGCTTCTGCGTGATGCACGCCTACAGATTGAAGGGATACAGGAGCGAAGCACGTTGCTTATTCCTTCACGCACCCGTGGGCTGCGCAACGCACGGCTGAGGCACTGCTGGTGCCCAGCGGTGCGCGTGCGCGATGCCTCCGTGGAGGGTGCTGTCGCTGATGGGCTAGCTGCCTACAGTGCCGTGTGTGCGTGCGTGTGTGCAGCGCCTGACTCGTGATAGTGTTCGGCTATTCGGCACGTTGACCGCGTGATCCTTGAAGGCGGATGCCACCTGCCGAATGCGGTTGTCCGACCTGCCGATGCTGCCGCACGCACGGCCAGTCCGCCAATGAAAGGTTGCAGGCTTGAAGTGATCCAGCCACGTGACTGGCGTCCGACACGAGCGAGGCCGGTGCGCAAGGTTGCTTTCAATGGTGGCGCGGTGGCCGCGCCCGCCCCCGGATCGTCGCCCTCGGAACCAGTGTGTGACGCCATGCCGCCGCGTGTTTTGGTCCTTCGAGAACGCGATCGTGCACCTGGGGCCCCTCGCGCAGCATGCTGGTTACGATTTCGGCGCCGACCGGGAGATCAACAGGCGTGTTCCTCCCGATCAGTCTTCGGCCCCTTCACGGGCCAGACGTATCTCGCGACATTGTCCATCAAGAAGGGCCCCAGGCGAAGCCAACAGCGCACTGCGCAGCACCAACAGACCCAGGGGGCGGACATGCGGGCAGTTATCGCCGCCCTGGGTCTGCACGAACGAAATGGGTACGCAAAAAGTCGGGTACAATGCCCAAGAGCAGTTCCTGTTCATTTTGAACAGGATTCGCTGTCCGCGCCGCCGCGGCTTGTGTCCATTTGAGACAGAAGGCCGCCTGCCCAACAGCGGCCGCTGTTGGTTTGGGACAACATATGCTGTTGGGTATTGTACCCCATTTTTTTCCGTACCCATTTCGGGCGTCCAAACTGGGGGCCCTGGACGCACGATAACACTCGACGCGCCGCAACGCCGTTCCCTTCAGACGACAATGGTTGCATGCCCAGTCAGCTGCATGCACTCACAAGTGCGCGCCACAAGCTGCTGGGACACGTCGTCTGCGGCCACGCGCCGCCGAGGCAGCGAGAGCTGCGCGCAGCGCGATCGTGCGCGGAGATGCCGCGCCTGCACAGAGCTGTCACAGAGCCCGGGCCGGTCAGGGCCGATGTATGTACTGTTGCACAGCTGACAGCTGAGGCGGCAACGGGTCTCTGTCTCTGTACGGGCGCCAGGCCGTGCAACTAGACAGTCACGATGTCGCTCGGGGCCTCTGACGACCAGAGTCGGAGCTCGAGGGCGCTGCCATCCCCGTGGATGGCAAGGGCAAGACCGGGACCCCGAGCAAGAGGGAGCTCATCCGCGGCATGCGCCTGTCCAACGTTGCCTGCGGCACCTGCCACGACAGCGGCGGCGCCCACGCCAACCAGTGCGTCGGCCTGGGCATGGAGGGTTTACCCGTCGCCTTCCCGCCGCGGAACACCATCAACAGTTTTGGTTGACTATGGAGGGACTACCCGTCGCCTTCCCGCCGCGGAACACCATCAACAGTTGGTTGACTACATCAACGCCCCGACCACGCACGATGGCATGAAGGACATCTCGGACGTGCACGCGCCCATCATCGCCTCGGATCTGTGGCCAGAGATGCGCTCCTCGAAGCAGCAGGACCTGCGCGACACCTCGGTCTACACCCTGTACTCGGACTGCGTGATCCATGGGATCTGGCTGGCCCTTACCGACAGGCTACAGTCTGCCAGCCCCAAGACCGAAGACCAGGCCAAGGTGACAACTCGCCGACAGCCAGCAGCACGGCCCAGCGGCCCACGGCACATGAGCTGCGTCTGCGCGCTCGCCAAGATCGGCGCGGTGAAATTCCACAGACGCTCACGAACATGGTTGCGCTTCTAGCCCTGGGCACCGCTTCGACTAGCCGCGCCCGCCGTTGCCTGCGCGCGAACCGGCGCCGAGGGCGGGCAACTGTGCCAGCGCAAAGGGCAGCGCAAAGGAACAGGGGACCAATCTGTCCAGGAGGCGCGATCAGTGCTGCGGTTCGAGCGCACGGCCGGCACGATCTGCTCGGGGCTGTCGGGCAGCATCGGCCGGTCGACGCCACACCGGGGTGAAGAGCTTGTCCTTGGGCTCTCCTTGCCGCGGGGTGCCGCTACGATCGACGACCCTGGCCATGGTCAGCTCATCCCACGTGCGTGCTGTCGTCAGATGAGCCGATCGGGCTTCCCAGGGCTTATGACTTCCTGGTCGGACTGAGACTCCTGAGCCATGGGCGAACGGTGCCCAGCGTCCATTGATGAGGCCTCGAGGTGCACTTTCAAGGACCTCATCGTGGGCGGTCCTCTGTGGCCGAAGTGCCGAGGATGGGCGTTTTCCATGGCCCGGTATTCCCGACTCGAATCGGGGCATGCGTGCGTGTCCGCCGCAATTGTGGCTCCAACGTGAGCACGACATACCATGTATTAAGCTGATGGAACGTATCATTCCCTCTATTCCCTCTAGTATCTTCCATGCTACCATTACCGTCATGTTGATCACCAGCGCCAGCACCCGCAACCCCAGCCTCCGACCCTCCGCCACCCTTGCCTCCACAAGCCTGCGGGGCGTCCTTCTGTTCCGCGGGGGGGGGCGGAGGCGGATACGAGCCCGACTGATGGGCATGCCCCCCCCCCTCCGTCGCGGCCCGTGCTCGCGGCGTTCCAGTGGCTTTGGCCACGGACGTCGCCTGCGCAGTGGCCTTGGCTATTAAATTTCCGTTTGCCCATGTGTGTCCGCTTCCTGCGTGCTGCTCTCCGTGGGCGGCCGCGCTTGGGCATGGCTCCCTCCTCGCCCGTGGGGTCTGCGTCGGCGTCTGGAGCTCGCGGATGGGGCGGCGCGGGGGCTCCGCCGCCCCCAGGAGAGCTCCTCGTCTTCCTCCTCGCCCCCGGTGGGCGCGGCGTGGGCCGCGCCGGTGGAGAAGGCCCCGCGCGGCGGGGGCCGTCGTTGCCGTCGTTGCCGTCGTTGCGCCGTAACTACTCGTCCGTCGTCGTCGTTGGCACCGTCGCCGTCGTTGGCATCGCCAACATTGCAGTCGTTTGTCGTCGTCACTGTTGTTCAGAGGAGGAAGAGGTACCCATACCGCTACCCTTGGCGCGTTTTCCTTCTTTTTGGGCCTCCTGGGAGGCCCTCGTCGCCAGCGCTGGATTCGCGTCGAATTTCTGGCCAGAACGCACCCCAGGAGAGGTCCAGGGAGTAGCGGCGTCGGTACCTTTTGATTTCCCCTGCTGTCGTCGTCGCCGTCGCTGTCGTCATCGTCGTCGGCACCGTCCGTAACTACTCGTCCGTCGTCGTCGTCGTCGGCACCGCCGCCGTCGTCGTTGGCATCGCCAACGTCGTCGTCGTTTGTCGTCGTCACTGTCGTCGTCGTCGTCGTCGTCGTCGTCGCTGTGTCCGTCCGTCCCACCGACCGTCCGTCGCCGTCGCTGTCGTCATCGTCGTCCTGGCCGTCGCCGGGCGTGCTCGGCGTGCTCGTCCTGGCCGTTGCCGGCGTATATCCTCGGCGGGGGCGCGCAGACGGCCGCGGCCTGGGCCGCGCGCGCGGCCGGCACCCGGCGGTGTGCGATCTCCGCGCGGCCGTGGCCGAGATGTTGCGGGCTCGCGTCGATGCCGAGCAGAGCAGAGATTAACGATTAAAAACAAACAACGGAAAACAGAGATTAACGATTAAAGACAAACAGAGCAGATGCTGTGGACGATTCAAGACAAAGCAAAGCAGAGATTAACGATTAACGAGCAAAGCATATATTAACGAGATTAACAAAGAAATCCCGAATCAAAGAAGAGCAAAAACACATGAACATAAACTTTGGGCGCTTTCGCGGATTTCTTGGGTCCGCGCTGGGCCCCCACCAGCGGCGCCTCCGGCGCCGCCCCTGGCGCGCTCCGCGCGCCAGGGAGGGGGGTCCAGCGCGGATCCAAGAAATCCGCGCGGAGCACCAACAGTTTATGCCAATGTGTTTTTTGTTCTACCGAAGGAAGCCAAGCCAAGGAGGAAGCTGAAAATGACGAGAAATTTCAGTCCCTGCCAGAGGAGTGTGTGAAGAAGCAGCCGGCGTGGACGATGGTCAGCCTCTTTGCCGTGTGGTGGGGTGATGCCCCCCCCTCATGATGGCCCCCAGTGGGTCGATGCCGATCTCGGTCATGATCCATGCCTCTCGGCGGCGAGCGAGGGGGGGAAGTGAGAAGGAGACGGCCTTCTCAGAAGGCGGTGGGACTTCTCAGAAGCCCTCGCGCCTTCTGAGAAGTTTCCCGTGTCTTCGGGGAGAGCTTGGGAAACTGCTCAGAAGGCAGCGGGCCTTCCGAGCCTCCTGAGAAGGGCCCCCCCTCTCACTTCCCCCCCTTGCTCGCCGCCGAATGTCGCCCGTCGCCGATTCGCGAGGACGATTCACGCAACGGGCGCTGGCCAAGATCGACGGTGGCCAAGATGGGCACGACGCTTCCGCGGTGCGTCTCGGGCACGCCCCGCTCTCTCCCCCCCCCCAAGCTGCGCTGAAACGCACGTTTTGAAGCGTAACACGTGCCGCGTTCGAAGCGCCCGTGTTCAAAACGTACGTGTTCAGTCTACGTGCTGGGCCCCGTACCGGTGCGCTGCGTGTTGCGCGTGGCGTATCGAGGCGGCTGAGCTTCCTCCCCCTCCCGCGGGGGGAGCACCCCGGGGCGGGCCCGCGGACGCGGGGCCCCGTGGAGCCAGCGTCGGCAGGTGCAGCCGCTGTGCAGCCACGCGCGGAGAGGCCGGAAGGCGGAGGAGGGCGACGAGGCGGAGGACGACCCATCAGAGCCCCGAGTCATCAGGGGTAACTCGGGTCAGGGATAACTCGGGTTCGTTTTTCGGGAACCCGAACCCGAGTTACCCCGGACCCGAGTTACCCCGGATAACTCGGGCGTCCAGAGCCCCGAATCATCAGGGGTAACTCGGGTCAGGGCTAACTCGGGTTCCTTTTTCGGGAATCCAAACCCGAGTTACCCCGGACCCGAGTTACCCCGGATAATTCGGGCGCCCAAACCCAGGAAAAGGGTCGGCAACGCTATAGCTCCAGAGGGCGATCGGGGGCCACAGCCTCCCCGCACCCAGAACGAAACGAGAGCTTGCTTCAGCCACGCGCAGAGGGAGTTGGGGGGAGGGGGGAGGGGGGAGGGCGTCTTAGAAGCCCCCCCCCGCTGCTCAGAAGGCGCGGGCCTTGTCTATAGATGTAGGGCCGGAGCCTTCTAAGGAGCAGCCTCCTTCTGAGAAGCCCTCCCCCTCCCTCCACCCCCTTGTGCGCGACGCCAAGTTTCGCGAAGGCTCCGATGCCGCGCGGGTTCATGCGTGCACGGTGCTATCTCTTGCACGGTCGGCCCGAGGTTTAAGATCGAGTTCGGTTTGGGGAGGGTGCTTTAATTTTGTTTGTGTTTGTTTGATGTTTTTGTGTATCCCGTCGGCGGCGAGCGAGGGGGGGAAGTGAGAGGGGGCGGGCCTTCTCAGAAGGCTCGGAAGTCTCCCGCCAGCCTTCTGTGAAGTTTTCTAAGCCTATCCAGGAGACGCAGAAAACCTCTCAGAAGGCGCGAGGGCTTTCGAGAACTCCCGCCGCCTTCTTGGAAGGTCTTGTCCTTCTCACTTCCGCCCCTCGCCCGCCGCCGATCTTGGGGGAGGGCACCCTCGCATGTTCTTCAGTTTGGCTGGCGGGCAGGTCTCCTGTTCTTGAGGGATGGTTCTTCTGTCCATGGTCGGGCTGTACTCCAAATCCCTTATTTATCGACCCCCCCTAAAAAACCGGACCCCCCTCCAAATCCGACCTAATATTCCGGACACCCCTCTTCGACGGGGCGCCTTAATAAACCGGACCCCCTAAGCTCCAATCCAAAGAAAGTGTTCTAATATACCGGACACCCCCAAAAAGGCGCATTAAAAATCCGGGCCCGGGGGAAGATTGATAAGGGATTTGGAGTATCTCTCCTGGCGTTTCTGGTCGTGCCGTCGTCTCCCCTCCCTGCCCCTGCTACCCTCAGAAATGATTTTGCTTTGGGCGATCCCCGCCGAAACCTTCGGCGTTTCTTCTCAAGTTCATGTTTTCCGAAAGTCGAGCAGACCCAGGGCCCCTGACGAAAAAAATCGAAACAAGTCCCTAGAGTCCTGGAGCGACAAACCAGCCCCCCCAAACGAGTCTTGCGAGACCCCAGAACTTGCTCGGAGAGAACCTGCAGCCTGTTGAAAGACGAAGAGGAGCAGCAGCAGCAGCGGCAGCAGCACGAGGAGGAGAAGGCGGACGACGAAGGAGGAGGACGAGGAGGAGGTGAGGATGACCTCTCCTTCCTCCTCCTGCTCCAGACGCCCCGCCCTCCTCTGACACGAGTGAGCATGTCGCGTTTGATGAGACACCGTGAAGTGGTGGCTGGCGTATTCGTAAAGTTGTGCTGTATTCTGTTCGGTTCGATTCTGGCCGAGTGTAGTATATGACATTATGTTATGTTATGTTATGTTGTGGGCTGGCTGGCGTGACGTCGTGACGCCTTTGTTCAGTACTTCGCCGATGTATGACTTCTAATCGGTTGTTGCTGCCACTGTTCGCTTCTGTGGCCAACCTGGGTTTGGCGCGCACGGCGCGCATGATAGACCGCCAGTACTCGGTCTCTGTTGAGTTATACTAGATCGCGTTGTGTTCGGTTCTGTTCTGTTCTGATCTCGATGTGCCTGCGTTACGTCGTGACGCCTGTCGCGTTTCATATGTCGTCTAATCGGTCGTTGCCTCGCCTGTTTTTTCCTGTGCCAGGCGCGGATGCTAGTGCGCCATTGATTTGTCGTTGCTGTATTTAGCAGTGCTCAATTGCGGCAAGTTCGCGTCGTGTCGACCGGCGACGACGCCGCTGCCGGCGTTCAACTTTGA